TATACAAGCACTTATAAAATGTGTCAATATTTAGTAAGTGCATGTATACTAATATTAGAAGTCTAAAAATGCCTGGTAAGGTGCTTCTTTCACCAATAAACATGTTTATTGTCAAGATCCAGACTCCAGAAACACATTTTTCACAGTGCAGTAACAGCAATGATGATATTTCCTAGTCTACTCAAGTGTCTTGTATTCTGGAATTGGCCCACAGTCTACCTGCTGACTAACCCTGATCTAGAGTATACCAACTTGAGCTAACTGTTGCTGTGAAGACAGGCCTTAAAATTAAAATCTTAATTGCTCTATAGTATGTCTGCATTCTAGAAGTAGTCAGAGGCAAGATGCTTTTTAGCGTTTTTAGTACAGAGCAGATAACCCATTATGTGCATTCTTAGAACAAATCCTGACTTAAGTGCTGCCTTTTGGAAAAGTTACAGAAAGCAACTTGTGCAACTAATGTATATGTTTGCATTGCAAAGTGGGTTTTGTATCTAGATGTATGACTTTCCAAACTGTTTCCCCTCCATAAATATTTGTCCTTTTTCTCTGCTTTTTAAAATGTCCATTCGCTCGGTGGGAGTATGTGCACAGCAGTGCGTGGGTATATTAAATACCAGCAGTCAGAGATTCATAATGTGGGAATGGTGGGTTTCTGCTGTATCTTCCTTTCTTCCACTGCAATTCAGAGACCAAAATAGTCAGAATATTGTCAGCAAAGCTGCTTTGGGTCCCTGGATGGCTAAGTGTGATTTTCAGCTCCAGGCTGGAATTCTCTAGCTGTAAGGGCTTGTGTACGCATGGAGTGCTGCATCGGGTAACTGTATCGCAGGAGCACTTGGTGCAGATGCTGCCCATGCTGACTAGAGAAGCGCATTCGTCAGCATAGCACTGTGTGCACCAGGCATTGGGTTGGTAGACCTATGGTGCTCAGTGACTGGATTTTCTACACCAGTGGTCCCCAACACGATGCCTGCAGGCGCTGCGGAGTCCGCAGGCGCCATGGCGCCCGCTGGGGTATTTATGTGCACCCACCTAGTGACCGGGGCCGGCCCAAGCCATTCTTGTGCCCCTGGCCACGGGCGCCCAGTGCATGCACGGCTTCTGCCTCCAGGCGTCTGGCAGCCCCAAAAGGTTGGGGACCACTGTTCTACACTCCTGAGCGACTTCGTTGTACTGATGTAAGTCCCTAGTTCTTACCATAGATTGCAGCCTGATAGCTGCCTCTGTACATAGTGTTGTAGGCAGGGGGGTGAAATCATGGCCACATTCAAGACAATAAGAGTTTTACCATTCATGTCAGGGGAGCCAGGATGCTTAGAAGTCCTGCTAGGAGTAGAAAGGGCTAGGAGTGTAGTGCCCTGGCAGCTGGTTCCTGATCCCTAGGCCTCCTGAGACCAATCTGACTTTTCCCATGACTTTTATTGTTATGATTCCCGTGTTCATCGGGTGTATTTTTCCTTTCCTCTTTTGATGCTTGACTGATGTACTCCATCTATAGAGCCCTGTGTGGATACAAAGTTGGTATCTGCAGATGCAAAAATAATCCCTGGTTATCTGCATCCACGTCTACAGATGCAGATGCCCGTAGATATAAAGAGTCTTCTTTGGGCTAACTATCCCGTTCACTTTTAATGCCTCTCTGGAACTGTTGTGGGCTGCTTTTTTTAAATTTTATCTTATTTTTAAACCAATCACTGTTATTCCCTGATCTTGTTGTCTCTGCATTCGTGTTCTTGGACTCCCATGATCCCTTCACAGTTGGAACAAGGCAAACTGTAATATAGTGTATGGAATTTTTTTAATGGACTTAGAATGTAGAAAAGCAAAGAAACACAGCAAGGTCATTTTCATTAATGAATGTGCTTTCTTTGCTCTTCTATATTTTGTTTTCAAATGAATGTTTTTCATTTTTTCTTACTGTGCTGTACAGTACAGTTTCATGTTGTGTAACCATGATCATTTTGGTTCATGAAGGACATTTACAACCAAACTAGTTAACATGCAAATGACCAATGCCACAGCAGCTTATTCACTTTGATACGCATTATGCAACTAAGATCAAAATCTAGCCCCCAGGGTCTGTGCTGTCCTAGGTACTAAAAGCAGGTTTGTTCTCTGTTGATTAGACATTTTAGTGTGATTAAATATAAAATATTCTTGATTGTGTGGGCACAGATCGTACAAACGAGGCAGCATTTTCACAGACATGAAGAATCTGAGTTTACTTAAGTGCTGGTCATCTGCTGCTGCGGAATTATTTTTGTCAGTTGAGAAGATGCTCAGGTGTATGGGAAGATCATTATTACTGAACTGGAAGAATTGTAAAGGTTGGAGGAGAATTGTTTTACTGGTGAAGTAGTGCTTGAGGTGTGATTAGATTAATAAATGAGTTAAGGCAGGATGGTATTCTGCAAACCATTTTGAAATTATTTCCTTGATAGCAGTTTGCAGCTGTGGAAGATTTAGGAGTGTAACAAGGGAAATTGGAAATATTATAACACAATATGAAATTACATTTGTACTTTAAATGACTTTTTAATGTGCATAATACCCAAAGCTAAAATGAATCATTCATATAATTACCATGAAAAGTTGTTCCAAAATTAATTGTTCATGTAATGTAGATTTCCTGCTTGTTGTTTTAAAAAAAAAAGAGGGGGAGCTGCAGCTTGAAAGAACAAAACTTTAAACCAGAAGTTTGGATTTCTGCATAGTTCAGGTTCTAATAAACAGATTATTTAACCGAATATTATTATACTTTAATATTTATAAATCAAACTTTAACATAAAGGAATCCCCAATGAATTAACCAGGATTTTAAGAATAAACAAGTAACTTTTCTGTTGCTGTTATTTTTTTAGTATCAATTTCTGGGCAACTTTTTATTTTACAGAAATTTAGAGACGCTCAGACTATTTTCAAAATGGACTTTTTAGCAGTCAGACTTTTCTCAGAAATAATTTGCTTTCATTTAAATAAAACTTGATATTTTAAGGGGATTTTTAAAACATCTGCTGATACAGGGCCAAGTGAAATTAATAAATTGTCATGTGTCTAGGAGAATTAATTAATTTCTTCACTTTGAGAAATGGACCACTAGATCAATCCACGGATGTTGCTGGACCAGATTGCTCCAGCAGCAGAGGTTGTGGGTGGCTTGAGAGCGGAGCATGTCCAGTGGTGCTACACACCTTGCGGGGCAGTGGAGCCAGTCAAGTGGAACTGGTGGGGCAGTGGAGCCCATGAAGCCCATGCGGCTGGCGACAGTGGACAGTCTGCGTGGCCAGGGGCAGTAGCCTGGTGGCTGTGAAGGGGAGGCTGGTGCCCCCCGGAGCTCAGAGGCCTGGCTTCCCCTGGTCCAGCAAATTCCCTTGTTCGGTACCAGTCAGGTCCAGGAGCTGTTGCCCAGACCAGGGAGATCCAACCTGTATTGGAAAATAACAATATATGGCAATGATCAATGCTTATTTTGTGCTTTTAAATCTAGTAGGAAAGATTGAATTTTAAGAATCCAGTTTGAGGAAGTAATTTGGGATTTAGATGATTTATAAATAGCTATATTTGAATGACCTTTTTCAAGGTCAGTTTGCTGTGTGGCTATTTGTATTTTAAACATACTGTTTTCATTTATGCAGATTTTTTAGTAAAAAATAATAGCAAATTCAGATTACCCATGTCAGCTCAAATTTCAAGAAATGCGACCCCACGCAAGGGTATAAATAAAATACACTCAACTTCCATTGCTTTGGGCAGAAGCCGGAATGAACAAAACGTTCTGTACCCTGAAAGTCAGCGGACTTACGAAGTGAATTCAAGTCGTATACCTTCTTTTGAAAAAGCTCTGCCCTTATACCAGACGCTCTCACCTGGAGACTCGGGGGGGGGTAGCCCAGTCTGTTCTACAGATACTGGATAGGCCTAGCCCTGTGTGTAGGTGCAGCAACAGAAAAGGTTTCTTCTGTTAGCGTAGAAGTAAAACATTAGATATGTCAGCAGAAGCACTTCTCCATTGACATGACTATGGCTAGGTTGATGGCTGTGCCAGTCAGAAATGTAGGAGTTTTTTCCGTCCCCTGACTGATATAGCTGTACAGCTATAACTTTCAGGTTAGACCAAGTCAGAGGCTTAGAGTAGATCAGATGCTGTCAGTTTCTGGATGGCAGCTTCTCTTGTGTCTAGAACCCAAACAATGGAGGGCTTTAACTGTCAGTGTCAGCACCTTGAACTGTAGTGATAACCAAGTAAGGCCCGAGTACTCCTTGCAGTCCTGATGTAGTATGCTCTCTGTAGCTAGCACAATTAATAAAACAGCTGCTGTCTTCTGCATAAGCTGCACCTTCTGAATGGTCCTTATGTCATGGATCGCATTAATCTGGTCTGCGGGTGACAAGGACATGGATAATTGGCTGGGTCTGCAGGAGAGAAACAATCACCTTTGTACCAAACATATGAGGGAGGCTTTTTTGGCCGCTTATGCTGCCAGAGGCTCCAGAAGCATTTGAGAATCTGGAAACACATCCAAAAGTAACAGAAGGTGGGAAGGGCCTTTCATTTACGGGCAGACATTCTCCTGCCGCACTTTCTAAATGTTTCCTCTCCACCTGCCTTGCCATATGCAGCTTATAAAATTCCTCACTAAACCGTGACGTGATCCTCATTAACACTTTAGGCAGGCATTAGAGTAGCTCTCTTCAGCTACCTGACTTCAGATTGACAGTTGTCTTCAGATTTTCTTTAGAGGGTACCTGATGGATGGAGAATATTCCTCTAATCCTCTTCCAGTGATATGGAAGAAGTCCTCTGTTGTTTAAAAATAAAAATCGGTGTGTGATACCTATCATTGCTCTCCCTTCACCCCAAGTTCCTCAACTCATGCAGTCCGGTGACAGAAGGTAGAAGTTAGCTGAGATAATTGTGGGTTTCCTACAAAAATCAACCTTTTAAAATCTTTTGGCTGATACTTTCAACCTGAAAATAAACATATCTTTATCCACAGGCTCTGTCTCGTTACCGGTGAATAGGAATGGCTGTCGCTATATGAACCTGGCATGGACTGTAGAGACGCGCTGTTACATTTCCGCTCCATGTAGTGTGGCAATACAACAATGCAGGCAAAGCAGTTTTTTCAACAAATGTAAGTCTTGAAAAAGGCCACGTTTTTATAACACAAGCAAAGTTTGTCTAACTCTCTTCTGTTTCTGATACTGATTTTGTCAACATGAAAATCCCATTTTGTACTAACATTTTACATATACTATAGGGCTGCGTCTAGACTGGCATGCTTTTGCGGAAATACTTTTAACTGAAAAGTTTTTCTGTTAAAAATATTTCCGCAAAAGCGCGTCTAGATTGACACGTATGCTTTTGTGCAAAAAGTGCTTTTGCGCAAAAGCATTTGTGGCCAGTCTAGACGCGATTTTGCGCAAGAAAGCCCCGATCGCCACTTTAGCCATCGGGGCTTTTTTGCTCAAAACAGTTCTTCCCTGTCTACACTGGCCCTCTTGCTCAAGTATTCTTGTGCAAGAGGGCTTTTTCCCGAGTGGGAGTGCGAAAGTATTTGCGCAAGAAGCACTGATTTTGTATATTACAAAGTCAGTGCTCTTGCGCAAATTCAAGTGGCCAGTGTAGACAGCGGGCAAGTTTTTGCGCAAAATCTTGCCAGTCTAGATGCACCCTAGTAGTAAACATCAGATAAGATAACTGCAACTGAAAAGCTAATGGGATGGGAAACATTTTTCTTTTCCTTTTTTTCTGTTTACCTTGTACATTTAACAGCATCTGATTTAATAGCTTCCCCTGTATAGTCAGAGTCCAGTCCAACTCCCAGTGAAGCCTTAGATTCATTTTTAGTCAATTAAAAAAAGTGACAGTGTCCATCTAATCATCTGCACAGCTGCAATATCTGCAAAGTTTTGCACATTTACTTAACTAGACACACTGAATAGTTCCGCGGTAGCCAACAGAACTGCTCACTGGGCATTCAGTTAATCCTGACCGCGTGTTCGCAGGGTCAGCTCTCAAGTAACTGGTCAGCTTGTCTCCATTCTTTAGCTATATACTCTGTCAGGTAAGATGATCTATTCATTTAATCTATTTTAAGGGAATTAGTATGATAAAGATGTAGTGTAGCAATTAGTGACCGCATGATTATTTTGTGAATTAGATATTTTCTTTGTTTCTGCATATTGGATCCATATAAATCCAGGCTTAGATGTTTTCTAGGCTCGAAAGCTTTCCACCCCTATTTCAGTCTTTAGATAACTGGATTAAAGAAAAACACTGTTTTACAGTTTCCTGTTTGACTCTGGACATTCTGAGACAAACTGAACTTGGACCTTTCAAAAATAATTGCAGTAACTAATATAGAGTGAGGGATGATTGTCTCGTCTAGAGTCCCGAGAATGTAAGCACGTAATCCCTTCGTGTGTCTGATGGAACGGAAGCCGTGGGTGGCCTCAGATAGCCAGCAGCCCCAGTTACAATCATTCCTAAAGCCCAGCAAGTTGCCTAACATCTGAGGGGAGCTACGCGTGTAGGTATGGGCTGAGATGCCTGCAGTCTGGTGGCTCTGTACAGAGGTGATTGGAGTTTTAAGCTGGTCCTGTCAGTTGGTGAGACCCTACCACACTAATACCAGCCCTGGCACCTTCCCTTGCAACAAACTCCGTTGCCTGCTTTGTCCACATATTCACTCTGCTGATTCCATTATTGGACTTAACCAATTGAGTTATAAGATCAAGAACACATCTTCCTGCTCATTTAGAAATATAATTTATGCCATCATGTGCCGAAAATGTCCGTCTGCTACGTACATTTGACAAACGTCTCAGACACTTTGGCAAAGAATCAATGCCCACAAAACAGATATCAGACAGGATCACAAAGAAAAAACAGTTTCTTGCCATTTCAACCAGAAAGGGCAGTGTCTCAAGGACTTGATTACCTGCATCCTGCTTCAAAGACCTTTTAACACCAGACTTGAAAGAGAATCCTCTGAACTGCCATTCATGCTTAAATTCGACACTTTACGCCTCGGTCTAAACGAAAACATTAATTATCTTATCCATTACAAAGATAGCCTCCCCAATTATTACCTCTAATATCATTAGCTCACAGACATAAACCTTCCCCTCCCCCATGCCCCTTCTGTTCTGAAATTTGATTTGTCCTTTTCATATGTGTTCATTTTTTTTGATTGTGTCCTTTGGTATATATGGGTGTGCCATTTTTCTTCCACATATTGATCTGAGGAAGTGGGTCTGGCCCATGAAAGCTCGTCACCTAATAAACCATCTTGTTAGTCTTTAAAGTGCTACACAGTCCTGTTTTTTGTTTCACCTTAATGGTATAGGCCTTGGAGACGTGCCAGACTGCCTCCTATTGCCTCTTTGTCAGTAACAGCAAGCACATCCCTGCCGACATCATCGAGCTGCCAGTAGCATGCCTCGCTGTGGTGAACTTTCTCTCCGCTCATTTACACCCTAACCAGGGTTCCCTCTCATTTTTATGTCCATGTGCGGAATGCATTTTGTTAGGAGCCCTAATATGGAAGTGATGTGTGACACACAACGTCCATATTGGTGCACATCACAATACTCATTCCACACGTGGACCATGTGTGGTGGGGGTGAGCAGGGGCAGAGGGCTGAGGTGTGGTGGTCAGGGCTCTGGCTCAGGTGTGGGCTCTGGGGTGAATCTGGGGATCGGGGTGCCGACAGGGACTCAGGAATAGGATGCGGAGGGAGAGTCAGTGCTCCGGGTGGAGCTGAGGGGGAGAGGGTTGGATGAGGTACAGGGTGTCCTGGGGAGAGAGGACTATCCCCAACAATCTCACTGCAGAAGCTCAGGCAAGGGAGAAGCATCTCTCCATGACCGTAGCAGCTCCTGTGAAGGGCACCACTCCGTGGCCCTAGCACATCTGGGCTAGCCTGTGTGGAGGCCACAGTAGGGGCACCGCAACCCCAGCTGTGGCAGGTCTCCGCTCTGGGACCAGTGGGCAGAGGTGCCTCTGGAGCCAGTGGGCGGAGGTGCCTCTCCCCGACCCAGCCCCCGTCACAGTAGCTCTGCTCAGGGGCCGGCGGGCAGAGGCGCCTCTCTCCACCACAACCCTGAGCCCTACATGCAGGGCTTAATAGGCAGCTGTGAAGCCACGCAGCTTAGAGGGAATTTAGAACCTAATGCACCTAAAATGTTGTTTCTGGAAAAGAAAGTAGATGGCTGCTGATCCTGTAGTTCTCTCCCGCTAAATCTTGTTGCCTCTTCCTCTTTAGAAAATGTCCTCGATTTGCTTAATCAAAACACCCTCAAAATTCAAACTGATGAATGTGCTTTGTACGTGTAACAATGTACAATGGCCAAATCCTTTGGCAGACTGTGCATTAGAAATAACACTGAAAATGCAAGTATAAACATTTTCAAGTGAATGTCAACCCAAATGACTGCCATCTGCAATTCGGGAAGAGACCATGCTGTTCTGTCTCCTCATTAAAGGGTTACTTCTCTCACCACAGATTTTTATAAACATTAACAATCTGTTAGCAAGGTCATCTCTACCTCTTGACTGACCTTTCGAATAGTAATTCTCATTTAAGAAAGAGGAATTGCAGTGATCTTAGACAGCTGGACGTCCAAATCCAGACAGCTGGCTGTCCCTTTCTGACCATACAGTATTTAGGGGGTTTCTCTAAGTGAAGCCCTGGGATGGATTCCTTAGGGAGGAACCCATCCCATCCCTAGAGGTTTTTAAGTCCTGGCTTGACAAAGCCCTGGCTAAGATGATTTAGTGGGAGTTGGTCCTGCTTTGGGCAGGGGGCTGGACTCTGTGACTTCCTGAGGTCTCCTCCAGCCCTAGGATTCTGACTCCCTGTCCAGTGGCACATCTAAGTTGTGTTGTCCCAAGTTTTGCTTCTTCTCCTTGGAAAGCTGTTAGGTCTAAATATGCAAATGTGCCTAGTCATTGTGCTTGCTCATCTTGAGACATTCTGGAAGGATCTGGTTTTCAGAAAGTGCTGGACGCCTGCCTCCAGAGAGTTGGGCCATTTATAGTATCTTAAGTTGGTCACCCAAAATGTGAGCCTCTCTAGATCAGCAGTGTCTGTGTACATTACCTCGCTGTCATGGCTACTGGTAGATCAGTGCAAGGCCTGAAGAGTCTGCTTTCCCGCCATACTATGAGGTGGCTGTGTGGGTTCAGAGCTTAGGTTACTGCTATCCTTGTCTGTCAGTGCCTAGAATCTCTTTAGGAGAACGTTTGTAATCTGTTGAAACCCTTGGACTCAGATTTATACCGATGTCTGAGGTTGCCTGTAGCTATTACTCAGTACTAACGTGTAAACTTGAAGGTACAAAACCGAGCCTCTTTATTCAGAACAGGTAATATTCCTTGTGGGTCAAAATCTGTGTGCGTTATGTCGGCATTTCCAGATAGTAACCCTTTCAAAGCCTTTGGTGGTGGTGCCATCCAGATACCAAATGGAAATTATAACTTGAACACAGTTTGCTTCTGTCATCATTACAAGGCCCACACTAACCACTCTTAGAGCCCTGCTCTGGAAACAATGAGGAGACAGCCTGGCCCAGTGATTAGAAATCGAGACAGGGTGTCAGGAGCATGGCTGTCTACCCCTAAACAAGTCTGTCAGTTTCCTTTCTGTAAAAGGAAGGGAATTAATTTTTACCTACTTCACAGTGATCTCAGTTAATTGTAAGGTGCTTTCAGATCTTTTGGTGATAAGAACTAGAAATTCAAAAGACGATAGCACTTTAAGTAGTAACACTGAAGTTGATTATTTTCTTGCAAGGAAAAAGTTCCAAGTGTTGTCAGGCTTCCTAGAAAGCAGATCATTCAGAAACAAAGTTTTTAATATGGTCGTAATTCTGTAAGTTATCACCACGTGGGAGCAAACTCCCTTGGCCGCTGGGCTTCTGCTGCCGAGAACATGAGCCAGTTGTCACACAGGTCCGTGTTCCGGAACAGCCGTGAGACCCAACACTCTGGATGCGCACACAAGCTTACAGAAAACTCTTGGACATGTGTAATGTCAGTAAATGCTCAGCCTGGTATGTTCTGGGGACACTTCCCCCTTGAAGCTCTTCATAAAAGGAGAGTGATATTTAACAGCAGCAAGCAAATGC